GGGGTGTGCGTTCAGAAACACGCTTTTGGGCTTAGCCCAACCCAACCCCAATCTGAATGAACCCTAATCCAGTTACTCTAGTCAAAACTACCTTCTTCCCAAAACACTCTGGTACTGTTCATCAACATAACCCTAGCCGCTCTCTCTCGTCTTCATCCTCTCCCTCACGCTCTCTCTTCTCTGCAACCCAATCAAACAAACCCTAAACTAAGCAAATCCTCACCCAAACACCTCAATCCCTCACACGAAATCACTACTCAAGATCTAACTCAATTACTCACTAAATCAATTAATCAACTAAAACCCTAATCGTTGAAGGCACGATCTAATCTGAAGAAGAACATGCAAGGAGTTTTGGCAAGCATACCTGGAGATATTTGAGCGAACGGGATCTCAGTCGCGTACGAAGATGGAGCGAAGATGAACTTGAGGGATGGCTCTTGAAGATGACGTTCTGGGAAAATTTGCTTGAAGATTGGACGCGGTTCGAAGCTTCTGGAAATTTGCTTAAGAAGGATGAACGCCTTAGGATGATTTTTGGAGATATTGCTTGAGGATTGATCGTCTGAGATGATTTCTGGAAAAGTTGCTTGAGGACGATGAAGATTGATGTTGGTGAACGAAGGATTCTGGAAAAAAGTCTCGAGGACGATGAAGATTGAGTTTCTGGAAAAAATTGTTGTATGAAGGTTTGAAGGTTTAGTGTTCTGGAAATTTTGGTTGGAGGTGGATGATTGATGAAGGTTGATTTCTGGAAAAATCTTGGATGAAGGTATGAAGGTTGATGGCGTTTCTGGAGTTTGTGGCCGGAATCTGGAAACGACGGTGGTTTCTGGTGATGAGGGTTAGATGTTGGGAAGAGGAGGAGGATCGGGGATGAAAAGGTTGAAGATGAATCTGGAGAGTTTGAGTTCGCCGGCGACGGTTAGTGGCGGCCGGAGTACATGCACGGCGGCCGGTGGGAATCTTCCGATGATGGTTACGGTGTGGACACGTGGGGGCTATGGTGGAGGGAGTGTGTGCATGCCTGCCACGTGTGGTGGCGTGGAGAGAGAGGGAGAGATAGTGGAAAGTGGGGCCGTTCTGAGTGGGTGGCGCGATTTCAGTGAAACGTGTGGGACCTCCTGCTGCGCAACACGTGTCAGCTTTATTTATTACTCTGAAGTTTGCTGGCACTTTCCAGAAGTTTCTGGAGTCTGCTGGACGAATGTGGACTTTTTGGACCATTTTTCTGGACAAAAAAAAGAAAGCCATACTGGGCCTCCCCAATTGGGCCCAACGAACTGAATAAAAAAAAACTGTAAAAAAAACTAGATTAAAAAAAACAGTTAATCCTCACTATATCTAATTAACACCAATTAATCTAATTAACCAATGATTAATCCTAATCAACTCTAAAAATGATTAAAACTCATATTATCCTAATTAAATCTGAAAATCAATTAAAATCTAATTAAAAAAGAGATTAATGCTCTAATTTCTATATTATCCTAAAAAACAATTAATATCTAATTAAACTCTAAAAATGATTAAAAGTCTAATTATCCTAATTAAATCTAAAAACAATTAAGATCTAATTAACTTCAAAATTCTACTAATTCTCTATTAAAATCCTAATATCACTTAATATCTATTAAAATCTATTATTAAAAAGAAAAACTATATTATTTTCTACATTATCTAAAAACAATTAAACCTATTTAAAATCTATAGAAAATTCTAAAATTGATTTAAAAATTCTTATAAAATCCTAAAAAGAGAATTAAACCATTAAAATATTCAAAAAACCCTATTTAAATTCCAGAAAAATCTATAAACCCTGAAAATGCAGATGAATGCAAACGACCCCCGTAAAAGAGCGCACGAGACCAGATCGAATCGAACGGAGATCCCCGGGCATCAGAATATCCCCAAAATTACTGAAAAATCACCGAGGAGCGCACAATTTCCCGAAAATAAAACCCCGATAATCTGGACTGGGTCTGCCATATCTGATAGACAAAAATCAGGCTGTAAACTCTGATATCCCCTGCTTGTGTACAAAAATCATACATCTGAGCTGTGAATATGAAATTAAACCATGAGTCAGATAGGAAAATCGGTTGGTCAAATTTTAGGGTGCAACAACGTGGAAGCAATGTTTCAGTGTCACATGATGTTTGGTCAGTTACCCACAATTGAGTTGTATGTTTGTCTATTGGACAATGTCATAACATTTCTGACGCAAGAGACACAATCACACCAGTATACATCTGACGACGAACCAACATAAAACAAAGAATCTTTCATACCAAATGAAGAGGTTGGGGAAGCAAGCGACGATGATCTTCAAGAGGTCAGGATGCAAGATATTTTTGGTAACAGCAATGACGAGGACGACGAAGATATAATAGTCGCATCTATGCAGGCGATTCACGCTGAACCAATAAGCTTGTACAACTCACCTGCACATATGCAGAATATATGTAAACGATGAAACAACCTTTGTGTTTGGAGGTGTCATACCAAACCATATAGGTGACGAAATAGAGATTGGGATGATGTTTGAAAACAAGGAAGCTTGCGTTTTTGCTCTGCAACATTGGCATATAACACACAGTGTTGACTATTGGGTTTACCAATCTAACAATGAACGATACGTAATTAAATGAAAGAAACAAGATTGTAATTTCAAATGCAGAGCTTCCTTGAAAAAAGGAACTCAAAATAGGTGATTAGTAAGTTGTATGGGCCTCACACATGCACTACCACGTCTATGGCACAAGACCATAGGAAGCTCAGTTCAGAAATGATTAGCCACAGCATTAGAGAGTTTGTCAACCGAGACGTTTCACTTAAGGTGAAGGTGATCATTGCCCATATTCTTGAAAATACAGGTACATAATATCTTACAAGCATGGATCACTAAGTGTAAGGCCATAGAGTCGCTCTACGGAAATTGGAAAACATCTTACAACGACCTGCCACAGTGGATATTGGTAATGAAAACCTATCTTCCTGGAACCATTATAGATTTGCAAACCCTACCTGCAATTTCAAATGATGATTCTCAAATCTCTGGAAAACGAATCTTCCAACGTCTATTTTGGACATTTCGACCGTGTATATGTGGCTTCGCCTACGGTAAGCTCATTGTGCAAGTAGACGAAACATGTTTGTATGGCAAGTACAGAGGAACTATGTTGATGGCGGTGGCACATGATGGAAACGCAAACATTTTCCCAATAGCTTTCGCATTGGTCGAAGGTGAAACAAAGGAAGCTTTGAGCTTTTTCCTAAGGAACCTGAGGTTACACGTGACACCACAACCTAATTTGTGCCTAATCTCGGATAGACATGAATCGATAAAGAGTGCATATAAAAATCCCGAAAACGGATGGCAACATCCACCATCTTCACATGTCTACTGCATTAGACACATTAGGCAGAACTTCATGCGCGAGATTAAGGATAAGGAATTACGCAAAAAAAAAACTTATTAACATGGGTAACAAAATACATTTCAGTTATCTGAACTATTTTATCATACTTTTACTATATTTTTCATAACATTTCTATTACAGGTTACGCATTGACGGAGACTACATTTAACTACTATCGCTGAGAAATCCAAAGAACAGATATTGAGGCCTCACATTGGATAGACAACATACCTAGGGAGAAGTGGGTTAGAGCATTTGACGGAGGGCAACGTTGGGGACATATGACATCTAACTTGGCAGAGGCCATGAACTTTGTACTAAAGGAAACCTGAAACCTTCCAATCAATGCATTATTCCAGTCTACATACTATCGCATGGGTTCCCTCTTTGATAAACGAGGATACAAATGGACCAAAATGCTAGCTACCGGCAAAGTTTTCACAGATGGTTGCAACAAGGGAATGGCTGATGAGGTAGCCAAGGCTAACACACATAATGTCATGCAATTCGATCGCGAAAGATTTTGTTTCATGGTGCAGGAAAAAATTAATCAGAACGATGGTCGTCCAACGGGTACTTTCAGCGTTGACCTGAGGAATCATTGGTGTGATTGTGGAAAATTTTAGACATTTCACTTACCTTACTCCCACGCGATCGCAGCATGTTCTAGCATATGTCAGGACTACACCATTCACATTTCAGAGGTCTACACAGTTTTTAACGTATTCAAAGTGAGAGATACCATGTGAAAAATAAGAATTTTTTAAGGATGAATAAATTGGACTTAGCAGTTTACCGAATGAAGAATGCTTTAAAAAAAAAGGATGTTAGTCTAAAGCTCTCCACTAAAGAAAATGAGAAGATCAACAATGCAATTACTGTGGCCACAAAGTTGCTTGTTGAGAATAACCAACAGAAAGAAATAGATGTTTTAGAGGGACATCTGAAGGAGCTGGAGTGCATGTTGGAACACCTTATACCAATGACTGATTAGTTTTATTTTTATTTAATTTAATTTAAAGTAATGTCTTACTTTTGTATTGGCTGATTTTAAATATGATTCAGAGTCTGATTCTATCCTTATAGTGGTGTGCTACCTTATAATTCTTGACAATGTACTCTTGCCCTGCTTTTTGTTAATTATGTGATCGTTGGTGATGTTTTAGTTTTGGATATTACCTACTCTGATCTTACATTTCTCGATTGTTAGACTGTTTTCAAGAACTCAATGATGCCCCCAAAAAAATTGTCCAGTCCAACTAGAATTGTTGATATTGAATTAATATTAGTTATTCCCAATCTATAGCATAAATCTAAACGGAAAAAAAAATATCATAAACTTTCATAAATATTAATAAAGATAAATAATTATAAACATTTTTTTCCTATATATCACCCGATGTGCATGTCTTAGGCATGGATAACAAAATTTGTCAAAAATATTTACAAAGTGTGATGGTGAAATATTGAAGCTAACATAGACTCCTGGTTATTGCTTTCAGTTGTCAGCTCAACATTACAATTATCAGCACACAAAAAATCTGACACTGTTTTGCCTATTGACAGCCATGAGTAAAATTAGGCCCCTGGATTGAGGATGCGGGTTTGTATCTCAGAAAATGTCTTCACATCAATACCCAATAACCTGTTTTCACATATCAATTTAGAACAGTAAAGAAGATGTAAAAAACAGTAATTATCATTTCATATAAGAAAAAGCTCTCACCAGCAATCTATCCCTACTGCATTGGCCCCCAGTTTATCTGCTTTTACATCATCTCCAATGTGTAAGGCTTTGCCAGCCTCTACATTTACTTGATCTGGAAGGAAAACATTGGCAATGAAACTCAAATAACTAAAGCATTGCTACCACAATTAAGGTTAGCAACGGCACAACAGCAAACATTTGGTAATCTGGAGTTCAACCTTGAGTTCAATAAAGTCTTGCCAAAGATTGTCCCAGCTAGTATTTGAACTCGGGTATAATTTTGTTAAGAAACAGAAAGTATACTATTTAACATATTTTTGGCAAATGAAGTTTGTGCAGCATTAACTAATAATCACATACCTAGAGCAGCTTGAAATATTCTTGGGTCTGGTTTTTCATATCCAACCTCTGATGATATAATGACAGCATCAAATCTGACATAAAAACCATAAATGAAACATTAGAAACCATGTATAAGATACAGTCATCAGACTTTATAAGATTTCTGCAAAGTAAGTGTTTTTCAACAAACCGTCTTAGATGAACACCTCACCAGAGATGCCAATAAAATATCAAAAAGTAAAATATAGTTTTTATAGTCAAATTCAAGGAATGGCTGATGCTCACAGATGTAAAACATTAAGATCCTTCAATAGCTTCCTTAAGCGGGAGTCAAAATTGGATACAACAGCCATCTTAACTGTGTCACGTTAGCAAGGAATATCTTCAAAGAATGTAGCAAGGACTTAACAGTAGAAAATTTACAGGTTTAACAATGTAAATAGCTTAGTAAAATTAAATATTAAATTTTTTTGACCTCCAGCATCCTTGAGAAGAGTCATTGTTTCAAAAGCCCCATTTGGAAGATGCCATGCATCGCCTTTTGCATAGTACTGAGAGAAACAATAATTGAAGTTCAGACATAGGTGTCTCATGACAAAGGTCCAGGTTTGATTCCTGCTGCCAACAAATCATTCCACTCCTAACAACTTTACCACAAACCTTTGCTTTTAAAAAAACAAGTGCCTCATTTTAAGTTTGATAATAAATGTCAGCAATTCTTAAAACACAGTTAATTTACTTTTCCTTGCAAAGTAATGACAACTAGCATTAACAACATGAACATTCTGGAATCAACAAGATAGGAAACTACAATTTCAAAACCAGTAGATCATATTTTAGTTATGTTTCAAAGGAGCTGATGAAAAGCAAAGAGAAATTGCAACTTTCTTCAAATCATTTTTAATAGGAATAGATAGTTTTTCAAAAGATTAAAACATTTTACAGATAAATTAGCTACGGCCAATTGCATCTTCATAGATTGGAAATGAGGGCATGACAATTAGATCAGCCGAGAAAGGTTACCTCATAAACTTCTTCAAAAAAGTCTTCGTCTCCACAACCAGTGGCTTCAGAAACTACAAATTTCCAAAATGGCCTCCCATCACCCTGTTGTGAATATCAGCGAGAAAGGAAAAAAAAAAGAGTTCCTTTGAAGTGGTTCTACTGAAACTGTAAAAGCATAAATTTTTCAGGTAGAAACTACTATGATCCTGCTAGCATATTAATCTTTTCTAGTACAACACTTCCTGTACAAAATCACTACAACTTACCATAAACTTTCAATATTTTCCTATAATTTTCCCTAGCAGAAAACAGCAAGCTAATAGGAACTGTTAATATCATTAAAAACATTTTCCATACACCATCTCTACAGGTTCATTACTCTTAATAGCTCAATGAAAAAAAGTGATGATGAAACAATGTTATATAGAATAAAGACAACAGAAGAAAACAGGTTTAAAATGACGCCAATCGTGCAGAAATTACACGAAAATTCATTGATGGTAGAGCATAGACCTGGTAACGTAGTTTTTCAGGCCATTGAGCAGTAAATGCTCTCTTAAATCCTTGTTTTATCTCAGTTGGATTCACAGTCAAACCTGAACATAGACATAACATAACCAATGAATATAACTACCCGGTACCCAAAATGCATAATAGAAGGAAAATGCTAACAATAAAGCGACGTGGCAGTATAACAACTCTTATTAATGCCTACGTAAGTTAAGAGTCACACATTGTATATAATATAATCTAAAAATGTGTTTACAAGCTAGAGCCTCTCACCTTAAGCATACAAATGATAAGCAGATCTTTTGTATAACTTTTCTCGTATCTTATTTTGAATTCTAACGTATTTGAGAGAATAACAATAAACATTTTATTAACAAAAGAACATTCTGTTGTTCTTATCATGTATTAGGCTCTATTTGTTAAGGCTAAACTGCTAGTTTATGGCAGATAATTTATAAAGTATACAAAATTGTATGACCAAAGTAGAGTTGTTTAGTAACAGTCATTCACTCACGGGCTTGAAGCATTTTTCTCAAATTCTACTTGAGCTTATTGCTTATAGCATAGCACTCCTTCTCACATTTTTATGCTCAGTATTCTAATTGAAGAAAACTAACATTAATTTAAATAAGAGAGAAATTACTCTAACCTCTCCTAAATTCAGTGCAAATGTAACTCACAGCCCTCTATTATAAAAGTTATCACAAACCTCCTTCATCAAACAGCCGTTCAACATAGAAAAAAAAGTAAACACTACTTTGATACACATTCTTTACTTTTTTTTAACGAGACACATATCTTACTTCTAAAACTAAACTTCATTCATATTGACTCCGTGTTTTTCTTCCAAAAAAGAAAATCCAAAATCTAAAACACCGATGTAGCCTTTTTCTTTAGTTCTTAACTTCACGCATCTTGTGCTTTTGAAATCTAAAAAATTGGCTCACAGATTAATTTTTTTGCTTTGCTTCGTAAACAACGATAAAGAGTTTGGTTCATACAATTCAACAAACACTTTGTTGACAGACAAACAAAACAACCGATTGTATAGCATCTGCAGCTAATTTGGAGATCAATAAGTAAAGAAAGTAACCATATTTGGATCCAATAGCGGCATAAGTATCGGCAACAGGATTGGTCAACTGCAAGAGGGTACCTCCAGCATCCAACAGCAATGCATCATATGCTCTCCGACCACCATGAGAGTAGCTTGATCCACCTACACATTTCACTTCAACATCATCATCGTAATCACAAAAATTGATATAAGACATTAATTGGGAAGGAGTGAAACGAAGGACCTTTGGTGATCGGCGTTGAAGATGAAAAGAGTGAAAGTGAATTTCGGGAAATGGGTTTGAGAGCTCTGAAGAATGCGTTGCCGGGAGAGCATCTCATGACTGTCGTAGCAGTGACCATTGTCGCTCCTACGCTAATTTTTTGTTCGCGCTTTTAATTTTTGTTGTTATATAAAATTAGGTTTAATTGTAATTTGTTCTCCAATTTTTTATTTTTTTTATTTTATTTTGATCTGTCTATTTTTATTTTACATGTCTTCCTAGTTTAAAAATCAGGACTTTAATATTTTTTAAGTTGTTTTATTTTATTAATTTAAAATTAATTTTTAATGATAGGGCTATGAAAAAAACGGTTAGACAATAGAGCTTCATCCTTACCACTTAGTCATTAGGAGTGTAATTAGGGGTGATAAAACGGATTTAGTCTATTGGGCAGATATGTTTTGTCCGCACTTTAGTATGGGATATGTCAAGGGTTTAGCCTCTCACCCTTTAATGTATTTGTTTCGTTCCGATCTATTTTTTTCGCAGACTTTTAGAGGCATGAGCATTTACATAAACTTTTGTGTTTTTAGGCTTAAAAGATGCAGTGTCCATGGACTTTCTCCGCCCCGCCCTCACTTTTTTGCCAGGTGGACCTAGAATTTTGTCCCGCCCCACCCTGTTTTTTACGGGCTTTTGTGGGACGGGCATACCCCTTTGTCGCCCTTAGGTGCAATCAGTTTGGTTTTAACTTATTTTTGGTCAAAAAATGATTTGAACCAACGATATCTCAATCGATTTAGTTTTGTTCGGTTTTAACATTTTTCAAAAATGGAACCGAACCAAACTAACTAGTATGGTTCGATTTGGTTTGGTTCAGTTGATCGATTTACAATGTTTTTTTTTCAAATATTATATTTATTAGTATATTCTCCAATATCGTGATTTTTGGTATTTTATGATATTATTTTTTAAAATAATATATTTCATGTAATTTTTATTTTATGCTCTATTTTTTCAAATAAATTATAAGTTTTTCTTAATTCATACGAAAAAATGAAATAAATTCACTATCAAATATAAAATTTGACACCTGGCATCAAAAGGCTGGAAAGGGATTTGAAAGCTTAACAAATAAAACACAACAAAACGCACACCAATTAACATGTTTCACACCTCAAACACACATAAAAATTATTTTGCAACAAGACTAGAAGGAATTTTGTTGAAGAAGAAGAACAAACAAAAAAGATAGAAAGAAATATGAAAATTAACGAAGAGAACTTGAACACATAAGGCAACCATGAGATATCAGAACGACAATAGAGAAAGCAATAGTTATGGCGGGCAGCGAGAGTGACAGGCCGCAAGCGTACGACACGTGTCAGAGTAGTAAAAAGTTATCGTATCCACAAGGACCGATGGTTAATTATCGGTTTCTATTTTATCAATGTAAAGCTAAAGCAATCGAATGGTTGGAAATAAACAAATATAAGTGAAAAAACACTTAAGTCAAAACAACTTATTTAAAAATCACTTTTTTTAGAGCAACTTAAATAAGAAAAACTTGGAAATTAATCAGGACAAATAGGATTTAGGGTCATAACCCCTTACTTTAACATCTCTATATGGTCAAACCAATCGTATCACAAGAATTCTAGCGTGGATTATAGGAAAATAGAATTTATAGGCAACGCCTGCTTTCGCCAGCGTGTTACCTTAGTTTAGATAAATAATTAGTCAGATTTCGCTTATTACTCGTTATTACTGTGCGATCTATTACGATGAAATATTCTCAACGTCATCTGAGTACTTTTGCATCATCGAATTAAGTTGTTAAAAAATCTGTTATCGGATATTGATACAAGTCCTTTTGGGTCATTATCAATACCTAAGAACTCTTTTACTTTCGTAACAAAAGTTAATTGGAAAACTCAGATTTTTAAAATGAAACGTTTCGAATCCTTGCAATACATAAGAACAACCATACAGATAGTTATGAGTTCGGTTGGTCTCATGACCCCTAATCCCTAGGGAACTACTCACTCATGATAAGGAATGATCCAATCAAAACAACTATTACAGATGAAAACATAATTGATAAGAACGATAAAATAAACGATAAATAAAGAATCTGATTAATCTTGATTAAAATTCAGATCCAATGCTCTCAAGGCGGAAACTTTTACAATAAGCAGTAAAATTGCAAAGAAAATAGAATAGTACGATAAAAACTCGATGCCTAAAACTATCACTACCTATGTGTTTTATAGCATTCAAAACAAAACATGAAATAATATTCAGTCAATGTCCTATTAATACAATATCCATTTGATTAGCGATGTGTCGGAAATCTCAAACGGTAACAAATCGAACCGAGAAAGGAAACAAAAGAGTGAAAATACGCCTGCCTGTTACGTGTCGTAATGCGCATTACGGGCACCCGTAATAGTCCCTGGGATTTTGGCATGCGCACATCAGAAGAGGCCTCTTTATCTTCATGTTGTTACGGATCGTAATGCATATTACGGGCACTCGTAACCGCCCTCTGGTTTTTTGTACTAGAGAGGTTCGGTTCTCGCATTTTTCTTCGTTTTTCACCTGATTTGGTCTCCTTTCCTTCTGGTATGATTATAAATACCTGAAAATTACAAAAACATTGTACCGAGGCATAAAACGTAGAAAAAATGAAGAAAAGTAAACAAAACATGAAGAAATTGCGAATAAAAATTACTAATATAAACGATACGAAAGCCGCTTATCAAACTCCCCCGAACTTAGATTGTTGATTGTCCTCGAGCAACAGAGCTCGCATAACACTTTTTTGAACCAATTAGTGTAATTAAAATGAAGAGTTTATGAAAATAAAGCGTGTCGGTACTCATACGTGAGCTTTCATTCTGATCGCCTGGTCTTAGTTCCTTTGGTAATCATCTGTTAATGAAAGTATTGCAAGAACACAAACCGCAGCAAAACCACGGACCTAAATCCCCCTTTCGGCCACCTCTCCAACTATGCTTTGAGCTTAAGTCTTTTTCAATTTTTCTCTCTCTTTTGTTCGGACAATCATATTAAGGCATTCACAGTTATTATTCCATCACATGCACGAGATTGATCAAAAAAATTTTTCTCTATGCACCTTTTTGTTATATTTTTTTTTCTTTTTCTTTTTATGCATATTGGCGTTTATTTGTCCACTATGGGATGACAATTGAGACTCAACCTCCATTAGACTAAGTAACCGAGTGAAGGTTACCCAACTTAAAAGGACTAGTTGTCTTCATTGTTATTATTCTTTTTTTTTTCGGTGCCTTAATATTTATTTCTCAATCAATCCTTATTCATGCAAGTCTTTTAATCATGCATGGTTGTCAAAGTAAATAAATTAGGGGATATTTTTTTAATCTGAGCACTATGGCACAAATCTACATGTTTGACAAGTGTCCTTACTCTGGGAGACCTAGGGTGTTTGAGTCATACTTAAGTTTTTTAATTTTCTCAAAGTCCCTAGTCCTAGCCTTTCTTCCCTCAAGCTCTATGTACTTTCTCAACACTCCTTGTAACAAAAGCATTCAAATGAAATGAAAAAAATGTACGGTCCTAATTCGGGGTGAAGTTCGACTGTGGTTTGGTTTTATTGAAGGGAAAATAGAAGCAAATAACTTAAACAAGAAATAAAAACTAAAAGCAAGTAAAGACCCCCCCCCCCCCCCCCCCCCACCCATACTTAAGTCAAATAGTGTCCTTAATGCTTAAGCAAAAGAGAGGGAGGAGGACTCACAAAGGGTCTCACTAGGGGGTGGAGGAAATAGCAACATCAACTATTACATCATATGTTGCACATCATCAAGAATTACGCCTTGGCGGATCTGCTCGCCTCTCATGTCCTGAATCTCATTTGGGACCCAATCTCACATATCTTGACTCTATCTTAAAGTTCCCACTTCGGTGTAGGTAGGACGGGGGGCATGGTGGTAGCATCTTCCATTGTTGTACTTGCATTAACATTAGAAAAAAATAAGGTCGTCGTCTTTTCCAGATGAATTATTTGGAGAGCCAGTGACCGCAGTGTACAACCAGTTCTTTTTTACAATAACCCGTGATTTTCTTAGGTTTGGAAGGTCAAAGATGGCCACGCTGCCCATCATTATCAAGTAGGTGTTACCCTCTCGGTGAATCATACCTTGGTGGATAAGGGATTCCATATTTATTTTTTATTTTCCCGCAACCATGTTATCGGCCTCAGTGCGAAAGATAAGGCCAAAGTGTTCTGCTATTACAGTAATCATGCCTCCTACTGAAATATCACCAGTGGAGGCTCTCGCAATACGACCTAAATGATAAGCCGCAAAGGCGACGACATTGAGAAGGTCATTGTTAACCATGGAAAACATGAGAAAGAGTTCCCGTTGGGGAAGCAACATCAGTATTATCACCCCGGTCAAATAAAGTGTAAGCCAAGGCCTTTTGCAAGTACCTAAAAACAGGATCCTGAATCCTAAAGGCCTTGGCATAAGCGGCAGCATAGTCATTGTGCCCAGTAATAGCAAACAAAAAACTAGTAAAATCAAATTCTTGAGGGACATCTCCGGATCCATCGACAGAAAGCCGGAGAATTTCTCCCAGATCTTCGACACTTAGCTCGAGGTCTTGGTTCATGAGTCAGAAATACAGGGTTCCAAAATAAACCCTCACACCATCTTGCCATTTTCTTCAAGTTTGAAATTTAGGGTGCTCAAAAATTCGAGTGTGATACACTCATAGGTGGGAGCATCCTTCCGCGTAAATTCTAACAACCCTATATTACTCAACAGTCTATCAATTTCAGATTTCAAACCAATAGTAGTGAGAGTTTGTTCGCAAAGATACCTTGACGGAGTAACTCTCCATTTAATGAAGACCGTGTATCTCTCCACTTGTTTGTCGTATGTGAAGATGATGCCATTAGGGTTTGCATCACAAATTCTTCCCCTTTTCTTAGGCCTGGAGGACTCAGCAACTTCCTTCCCCTTGGTGTTTCTGTTGGGAGCCATTTTAATTTGTGAGAGAGTGAGAAATCCGAAGATTTTTCTTTGAGATTTTTGCGAAAAAGAACCCAGAAAGGTGATGAAGGTATGAAGTTGTGAAGGTTTTGTGAAA